ACTTCTTTTTATGTCCCTCCATACTCTGCCTTCAGTCTCAGACTGTGTCTTTTTCTGTCCTCCTACCCACAACATCAGGGCAGCTGCTGGTTTTCATCCCCCCTGTACTCTACCTGTAGCCTGTATTACTCTCTGGCCCTACCTGTACATCCCATTAGTTGCTCATGCCACTGTTTATCTCCCCTTCTTGCATCTCTTTACTTAGACAAAAATATCTCTTATAATGTCCTTTGCTCTATCACTTTTCTTCCTGCTGCTACTGGTTTACCTAGAACTCTTTAAATTCACTTAGTGGGAGGTGGAGTCAAACTGGGTCCACTTGGCACAGCGGCCACTGATTGGCCTATTGTAGCCTGCCCTGGGTGATTATGATGATGGAGAATTTGGTGGAATGAAGATTGGCCAGGGAAACTGAAGCATTCGGAGAAAACCTGCCCCAGTGCCACTTTGTCCACCACAAATCCCACTTGATAGACCTGGGATCGAACCCGGGCCACCGCACTGGGAAGCCAGCAACTACCCACTTGAGCTGTGGCGTGGCCTGTACTTAGAACTCTTACTGTGGCGGGTATCCATGCCACTTCTTCCATGAGCAGCTGACTCTGCTTCCTGCATGCTTGGCTTACTCTTTGATTGAGAACTTGGAGGCACTCCATTCCTCAAAAGTATGTGTAAGCATCTGCTAGACTGCACAACATCACGTTCCAGAAGATGGTAGTCTTCTAGTTACTGCCGTGAGAACCTCGTATCTGACAAGTCAAAGACTCAGCCAGTGAAGGCATAATTAGGCGAAGTCTTTGACCATTCTGAAATAATATTGCATGTTGATTAATCTAATCTTATCTGCCAATTGAAAATGTGTAGTTCATGAACATGAGCATCCACATATATGCTGCATAAATAAATAGTAACAGATCATGACAAAGTCTTGGGATAATAAGTTACTGGACTCTATCATCATGTATTCTGAGAGAACACAGTGTTTCAGACACAGATCTAGTTCCCAAGATGTTGTACTCTTTCAGAATGTTATGTGGTGGTTGGCCCCAGAGCAGTGGATGGAGTCCAGAAACTTGGTTATGCCAAGTATAGTACACCATCATCAAAACCCTGTAGAATGAATTTTCATTTTGTTAACGTGATCTCTCCATGTGCTGCTGCTGTTCCATTTCCTGAGTGGGTGAAGGCTTGTATTTTTCCTTTATGCCTTAAAATTACTTGTTTGCAGCTCTGTAAAGCATGTAGTGTTTTGTTTCTTGCTGCAAAGGTACTGGTACTGAGGTTGGGGGGGGGGGTTCCAGTGTTTCTGGAGTAAAAAATAAATCATACTTGTTACTTTACAGATGTAATCTTACTTGAATCTCAGTTATTCCCTAGTAATATCCTAGTGTTATAAAAGGAGGTGTCAGCTCAATGTAGCATTGCCATGCTGTCACAAGAATAAATCCCTCTGATTCATCATCATATTTCTAGTTTCTCTGTGGTTATTTGGTTAACCAAGTTCACTTGAATTTGAGTTTAAACTTGCATTCTCTGAATTGTGAAGTTTGAAATGTTAAAAAATGTTATTTCTATATATACAGCCAGTGAATATTTTTACATTCATTCCTTAACTGGAGACATGTATTTTCACTATATTACATCCACACACAGGTGTGCATCACTGATACAAGTACATCTGCCATGTGTGTAATGATAACCTGATTGATTATTCAATTAATTGTGTAATGCAATGGAATTGTGCTTGAACAAGCACACACTAATTTGAAGTAGTGGAAAGATTATGTTGCTGGTTGAACAAAGAAGCCATTCAGTATTTTCTGTTCTTTAGAAAATGGGACTCTAGTACAAACAGGAAGTCTTTCACTTCAACCCAGATTATCTTCATACATTTTGTGGTTGTAGTACTTGTTATATAATGGTGTCTTTACTGTGGCCAAAGAGGATCTTGGTTAGTACTAGTTATAGCAGCATAAACCATGGTTGTTTGTAGAGTGCTAAAAGTTATTAGATTTCTGGAAGAAAGCGAAGTTGCAGTGGTGTCAAAATCCAAGCCAAATGAATGCAGACAATCTAAACAGTGTGAGACATGAAATTAGTAGGCATACCAGTAAAAAATTGGAAATATTTAAAGACAAAATTATGAAACAAACAGTAGAAACAAAAATGTTAGAGTTTGTAGGGACATACATAAATTTAATAAGGAATATGAACCTAGAACTGACTTGGTAAGGAATGAAAAGGATATCTGCTTCCATATTCCCACAACATTTTGAATAGATGGAAGAATTGGTTACAGCTATTGAATCTATATGGTGTTGATGTTAGGAAGACTGTAACACATACAGCCGAAAAATTGTTATCTGAGTTTAGGCTTTCTGAAGTTGGGATTGCTACAGAAAATTAAAAAAAAAATACAAATTTCCGGGTATTAATCAAATTCTACTAGAATTAGTCCAAGCAGTGGATGAAACATTACATTCTGAGATCCATGAACTTATTTATTCTGTTTGGTGCGAGGAAGAATTGCCGTGACTGTAGAAGTCTGTTATTATATCTGTTTATAAATAGTGTGACAGAGCTCACTAATAATTATCAAGGAATGCAACTAACTACATTCTATCCAACATTCTTCACTCAAGATTAACTCCACATATAGACAAAAACATTGGCTATATTTGAGTATGAATTTAAATATAATAGATCAAGTACGGATAGATTCATTTCATTTGTGACATAGTGTAGAAAACAATGGAAGTGCAGTGGGACAGGTGAAAAGAAAGATAAAGCTATCCTTGTAACAGACCATGGAGGCCTATAAGGTTGCAAGGTGAGGCTCCCACATTTTCTAGTCAATCAGGTAACAGATAGCTGTGAGGTTGTGGGCCTTATGCACTGACCGGCCACCCTTTACCTCCACAAAGATTCCTGGTACTCATTTCTGTTAGAAACTGAGCCGACACCAGGACCATAGTGCAGCTGGAAGAGTTAGGTCAATTGAAGAATTCAGTAATCTCATCGGGAACCAAACCCAGGACCTTCCAGATTGTAGCATAGTGCCTCAAACAACTCACTACATTAGCTATTTATAGACTGAGAATATGTTAAGTCAGTTACAGGAGAAGTATTGTACAATATCCTTTTTGGTATACCCACCCCTTTTTCATATAAACAAACATGCTTTAGCATCAGTATCGAAATATACAGTGTGCCAGCAGATGTAAATTTTTTATTTTTAACAAGTTTACAGGTACACATCAGTTGTTTACCAATATACGTGCTAGCTGGAAGAAAAGCACTGACTGTACCTACAAAACTTATTATGGCAATTAAAATGTGTTAAAGCAATAAATATTGCAAATTCCATGTAGATAAACATTGGCTGCATTTCCTATTCACAGTAACCTGAAACAAAAAGATGCCTTACCACTATAGCTTTCCAACTTTGCTTTGGAATATGCCATTAGGAAGGTTCAAAAACAGAAAATGCTGTGTGGACTGGAATTGAATGGGACACATCAACGTTTTATCTATGCTGATAATTATAATTTGTTAAAAAATATAAATGCAGTAAAGAAGACCTATACAGAAGCTCAGTTATCTGCAAATATAGAGGTTATTCTAGCAGTAAACATTGACAAAGCTAAGTATATGTTCGTATCTGGTCATAAAAATGAAGGACAGAGTTACAGTTTAAGCATAGCCAGTAAATCCTTTGAAAATGTGTTAAAATTCTAGTGTTTGGGGATGACAATAATAAATCAGTTATATTCAAAAAAGAAATTATGAACAAATTAAATGCAAAGAATTCTTGCTGCCTCTCATTTCAGAATCTGCTGCCTAAAAACAAAGATTAAAATGTACAAACTATGATTTTTCTTATTGTTTCATATGGGTATGAAACGTGGTCTCTCACATTAAGGTAAGATTATATAGGTGTCTGAGAAAAGGGTGCTGTGGAGAATATTTGTATCAGTGAAGAAGGAAATGTGGGAGGCTGGAGAAAGATGCATAATCAGTAGCTTTACAATTTGTTCTTCTTACCAGATATTATTAATTATTAGCGTCCTCGCTGTAGCAACTGGCTATGGGCTGGATGACAGAGGGGTTAGAGTTTGAGTCCTGGTATAGTCAAGAATTTTCTCTTCTCCATGTTGTCCAGACAAGCTCTGGGGTCCACCCAACCTCCTATCCAATGGGTGCGTGGGGCTCCTTCCCCAGGGCTAAAGTGGCAGGGCCATGAAGCTGACCACTCACCTCCACCTAGTGCCAAGGTCAAGAAAATGTGGGTCTATAAGTCCACTGCCCCATACACCTTCATGACATAGTGATTAATTAGTTAAGTGCAGGGACAACTTTACCTCTACCTTACTAAATATTATTAGGATAACGAAATCAAATAAGATGATAATGCCAGGGCATGCAGCACACATGGGAGAGAAGAAAAATGCATACAAAATGTTGGTAGGAAAACCAGAAGGAAAGAGACGGTTTGGGGAACTAGGCATATAATGGGGGATGCTATTAAAATGGACTTAAAAGAAATAATATAGGAGAGAGTTGACTGGATTCATGTGGCTTTGAACAGGGATCAGTCACAGACCCTTGTTAGCATGGTAATGAAACTTTTAGGTTCCATAAAGGCTCAGAATTTTCTCACCAGCTGAGCAACCATGGTATTAGCTTTTTAAGAAATTTTCTGCCCCATAGAGTTAGTAAGTTAGGGAACTTCAAGTGTGTCTACATGATTTCCCTAATGTCCTTGTCCAACAATCATATGTTGATTCCCTACGGAGATGGAACTGTAAAGGACCTGTGATGCTGTTAAATTCTCCAGATACAGTTCTAAACACTTGATAGTGTGGTTGAGTTGATTCAGTTCTAGCTAGACATAACAAGAAATGTGTTTCACATGTGAAATTAGGAAGATCAAGTTCCTTTAGTTGTACTTAGTATTTTTAGTAGACATGGCATTGATATCATGATATCATGTGTTGCAGTTATACCCCAGGAAATGCTTATGTTTATCTGGGTGTGTGGAGTCATCGTGTTCATTGGCCTGGCCATCCTGTTTTACTGCATGGGGAAAAGGTAAGAACTTGCCACATCAACAGGTTTTTACATGATAAGTACTATATTAAAAGTGAAAAATTAATAGTTAGCTTCATGCATACTCTAGTTAACGTATATATATATATATATATATATGAAAAGACTTCGTTATGTTCCTTTGTATGTAAAACATTAGTGCATGATTTTGTAAACGTATGCACGCACGCATATGTGTGTGCTTGCATGCATAGTACTATAGATTAAGTTTCCCTGTGAACAGATGACTTTCAGACTTACCCAGTCCACTGGTATCCAGCACACTGTCATGAGGGAGGTGATGTGACCAGGCAAGGGACTCTACACAAACTGTGGTAGATCTCTTATGTAGATTAATAGCATACTTGCTTGGGTTGCAGCATGTTTCTTTCAGGCTAAGTCTCCAGGGGTAGATGGGAAAGGTGGGGGGGAAGGGAGAGTTTTAAGTGAGCAAAAGAGAATTATTCCAGGAATTAGTAATTTGTAGCTTCGTTGGGTAAACAGGTTTCCTAGAAATACCTTGTAAGTGTTTTATTGTAGTCTGCCTGAGTTTATGGCTGTTGATGGATACTTCACAGTAATTCAGAAAAGTTGCCTTCTGAATTGAAATGCTTCTGAGAGGCTCAGGAGTCTAGAGTTACCATTGTAATGGTTTACACAGGATATGTTTCTTGAGAAATGATCATAAAAATGAACATTAAACTTCACAGTCCTAAAATTGGCCTTTTCTTCTTTCTATCATGACTCAGGATAAAGAAACTTTTTATCATTTGTATAATTTATTTTCAGGTTTTACTGTGCTTGTTTTTGACTTTAGATTAGGTACATCCAGATGTTTATTGTGGCAAGAGCATTTATGATTTCAGAAATATTTTTAAATTCTTATGTAGCTAGAAAAGCAATTAGAAAGACTGAAGTCCAGTTCCACTTACAGAATCCTTACTTGAATTCGTTCATTTCTAAGAATTCTTGTTGGCAATCAAGTTGTCTTATTGCGTTGCAAAATGCACACCGTGGGAAGCCATCTCATGCATGACTTGAGAAGCGTGCTGTTCACCGTCACAGTTTATATAAAGATAAAAAAATCTGCAGGCATGATTTGTGAGGATGTTTCTGTGAATTGATGATCATTAAGCAACTGCCCAAATAGTGACACAGCACTCTAAAAACAAAAAGTCAAACAACTGTGAATGATAACTTTATCTTGTTTTCATCCTGAACCACTGACATGAATCTAAAAATAATGATTAATATTTTTTATGAAAATATATGAAGCAGCAGTTTTCATGAAAGTGGACACTTTTGAATGGGTTGCTTCATTTATCAAGTTCACTTACCATTTAGCAGTTGGAGAAGAGATTTGTGAGAGCATTGGGTCATAATTATGCTTCAGAGACTTAGTGAGATGTTGGCTGTGACAGTTTGAAGGGAGGAACCAATTGACTGACAAGCCATTAAATTCAGACAAAGGAGGGACAGTAGAAGCTGCAAGGCTTTGAATTTTAGAGAGCAGTTTGTTTCCAAGAAGAGCTGTCAGAGAGGTGTGAAAAAATGAGTTTGATTGATCTTGGCTTTGTGATTGCTTCTAGAAGCACATCATTTCGGAACTGAATGGGGGTGGGGGCCAAAGAGAATCAGTTCAGTCATATAGGATAATGTTATTTCTTGTAATGTAGCCATGCACACTTTTAAGTTTTTGTTCCTATCTTAAAATTGTTCACACTTGATAACAGTGATCATAAATACAGTGTTTATGAACATCTGATTTAGTGATTGGAGCTGTTCTTCCAAATTGTAATTTTTCTACATAGTTTTTAAATGATGGGTTCATTTCTTAGACTACATGGCATCACATCCCAGAATTTGGTACTCTTCAGGTTCATGTATTTTTGAACTGCCATGCATTAAAGGTAATGACAGTGTGATCATATTAGGGCTTCCTGCAAAATTGGGTTACTCAGGTGGAAGAATTGGTCATTTCTCACATCTAGCTGAGTCATGGAGATCTAGACTACTTGCAGAACAATCAAGCCTGTGGCCCAACAGTTTACATAAGAAACTTACCTAGATTACAGGAGATGCTGGAAATGCTGTCCTTTGTTATCAAGAGAATTTTCAAACCTAGCTTCAATTACATCATTGCTAGTCACAAGCCAAATTAGAATGCTGAATGCTCACTGAACAGAAATTTAATGAAGTTACTGCCAGGCTCAAACTTTCTCCTTGGAAGTTTTTCAGGTGCTTTTCATAGGTGAACAGATTTTCAAGTTTGAAGTTTACTCTGTTTGTGGGGATAACACATGTGGAGGTATGAAGGGGTATATGTGTAAAAACCAAGAGCATTTCCAGCATGTGCTGTAATCTGGATAAGTTTTATTTGTAATGTGTTAGGCTGTAGGCTTGTCAGTTCTGCTGTAGGTTGAATTTACACAACCATACTAGATGCGAGGAGTGCCCAACTCTTCTGCTTGAACAGTTCAGCGATTTGTGGGGTATTGTAAGATGACCACTCTGTATGTGAAAAGTTCTCACTTCAGGTATACTATCAAAGTAAATTTATATTTTCAGTTTGCTGTTAGAGATGATTGTGTTACTTTACCTCTCTGTATTATGGAATTGGTTTTACAAAATTCCATGAAATGAATTTAAGCAAATTATACCAAAAAGAACATGCATTTAGCATACTTGACCACAAAATGGTGGGGGTGAGAGGATATGTATGGATCTAAGCAAGATGAAGAACCGGGATAATGGAGAAACTTCTAATGAGCTTAAAATCTTGTACTTTTCAGCTGTAATCTTTAGGATGATAATGCTGAAACTTATGATTGATAGGGCATGGAGCACACAAGGGAGAAACAAAAATCTATAGAAATGCAAAATTATGTGAGAAAAGACAATGAGATAGGCAGGAGGATAATAGGAAATTCATCTTAGATAAGAAGTTGTAAAAGGTGCAAAGTGAAGTGAATGAACTGTCTGAAGCATTGTGATGTCAGTTATGAGCCTTCAGGTACTGTTAACAGGATAACATTTACTGCTGAGCTAAGTAACCATCATTTTGCTGAAGCAAGACTACTTATTTTAATTCACTTTAGTTAGTATGTTAAGTACCTTAATAGCTTTAGTACATTAAGTATCCTTGGACATTTATGTGTTTATCCATCTCTAGAGTGTATATAGAGTGGAATATGAAGTGGTATCGTAATTATGAATCATGAAAGGGAAAGTAGAAGGAAATGGTTGTGACACATATTGTGGTGCTGTTCCTTAGTTCTCTTTTAGAGATAGAAGAAAATTATAAGATATCTTGGTCCAGATAGCAGATCTCTGGATCAAGGTTCAAACCCAAGACCAGCAAAATATGAAGATTTACTAATCATTGCACTCTAATGTTCAGTTATGTTATAGTCTGTTGGTCAGAATTATATGATAATTTTTGGATGTGGTATGCTGAATTGTATTATGAAAATTTGACATTTTTTTTACCATGTTTAAGGACTTGGAATATGTAATTTTATGTTGGTTAGTGGTGGTGACTTAATTATTTACTTCTAGATAAGCTACAGAAACTGATATGCTGTATAAAAGTATTAATTTCTTTGTTTCAGGGCTTGGCTTAGATGCAAGGAAATGCAAGATGTAGAAGTGAAGTTGCCACCAGGCCTGGCTCCATCTGTAAGTATCCACATACAGTTTAATTGTGCAAAATGTGCATTAACATTATGAAGTAAATGCTAGCCCAGTTTTAATGAGATTTGAGATTCACGCATTTTTTTATTTAGGTTTTATGATAATGTTTCTTTATGTTTATTTAGCTTTGTGTAGAAGTGAGGGTGGGTAGGAGGGAAGGCACTGAAATTACCTCATGAAATATAATATTTGAAGCTTTCATGGTGACTGAAGGTGGTAAAATTTCCTTTGGTGACCAGTTGTATCAGTTCAGAGTTAAAGTTAGGAGTTTCAAACACCTTCTCTATCACTGTCAAAAAGGAATGATGTCTATTAAATGTTGGGCTGAACTCTCATATTTGATGTGGATGTTGCCTGAGGAGATGTTCATACCTTGTGGAAGTTTTGTATTGTTTTATGTGGGGAGGGAATTACTAATAATGTTTAGAATATAAATAAGCAGTTCAGCCCTGGAATTTTCAGCTCATGAGGTAGATACATTATAAAAGTGAAACACATTTGCAGTCAGTGATAGTTACACATTCCTCTGTATGATACATGATCATAAGTACTGAGGCTGAATATCTGGAAACTAATATATTGGACATCTAAAAAAGGCTGTGCCATAGCTCAAGCAGTTAGTCACTGGCTTTCCACCACAGTGGCCCAGGTTTGATCCCGGGTCTGGTCAAGTGGTATTTGTGGTGGACAAAGTGGCACTGGGGCAGATTTTCTCTGAGTACTTCAGTTTCCCCTGCGAATCTTCATTCCACCAATTGCTACACAATCACCCTGACCTATCATCTGGGGCTGGTACAATAGGCGAGAAGTGGCATCAGTACAAGGGACTTAGTCCCACCCCACTAGCAATAAAAAAATATTGGACATCTAGTGATAGGAATAGCTCCTTCAGTGCATACACATTTGTTCTGCTGTACCTGCCAATGCTGGAACCAACTCGCAGACTCGTTTATTTTAATCACCAAGACCTGCATTGCAACATGTTCACTTGTTTCCACATTATCAATCCTCTTTCTTTGGGGGTTTCTTAATTTTGGGGAGCAGAAAAATCTCACATGGAGCCACATCTGGTAGGTAATGAGGCTGTCTGAGTTGTACAGCACCATGTTAAGCTTTAAAAAAATTCAATTCAAGCTGGGCTGAACAGGTACATTCTCATGGTGAATTTACTACTTGTTGGGAGTCCCACATTTTCTCCTGTCTACATTGCAGTGGATCACAGAGATGTCAGCATTTGTAAATATAAATGTTGGTAATAGTGTGATCTTGTGGATCATAATCGTGGTTCACAACACCCTTATAATTGAAATCATTGTCACATTGGTAATGACTGTTGCTTAGTTTGGGATCATATCCATAGACCCGTCTTTCATTACCTATTATGGCATGCATTTTAGGAAGTTTTCATTGGTTTCAGCACATTCTAGCAATTCGGAAGCCACAGACAGGCAGTCCTTCTGCTTCTGTCAGTAATTATGGACTAGAATTTACTGAGACATACCTCATTTCTAAATCTTTTGTTAAAATTGCCCAACATGATCCATAAAAAATTCCTCCTTCAGTAAGTTCTCAAATAGTCCCATGTCATTTTGCACTTAATGCCGCACTTGGGTTGAAAAGCTTGCCAGTTTCAGCAAATATTCATATGACTTTAAAATGATGTGACTGCTCACAAATGCATGTTCTGTTCGTTGTTGCATCTCAAAATAATATTTGCATCAATTAGCAACCTCCAGTTACCACTTTTGCAGTGTTTTCACAAAATGTAATGCACATGGCTTGTTCTGTACTAAAATTGGTATGCAGCAAAATCACTCCAGCTTCAAACAGTGACCATTAATGACTATAGCAGACTTGCTCTAAACATTCCTGAACATGCAGTATTCTTATATTATTCTTATTATTATTCTTACATTCTTATATTCTTTATAGCCATGTCCATCTGCAGTCTGATTCATCCCACATAAATTCCCATGTGAGTTGAGATTCAGTACTTCTTGTTCACAAGTGTTATATTGTGTTTGTTATGGTTGGTCAGTTGCTGGTGCTCTTTGTAATTGGTTGTGTGTCAGAAATGTTACATACATCAAATAGCAATGGTTGAACTTGTGAAGGATTTCCATATAGATAGTAATGAATAAGGTGATGTTTAGACATGCAAATGGCTGAAGAAAAAATTGAAGGAAAGCAAAACATTTCATTACTTTGCTGTTACGAGTGTAATTTCATACAGTTCAAGTACAAAGGCGGTTAAATTAGTGCATCGTATACAGGAATGATATTGATTGTACGGTTAATTATTGACATCAGGAAATTCAAATCTTTTTTTTTCTTCTTCTTATTGTTAATGTTTTTGCTGTGTGATGTCAGGAGTTCTCATGGTAATGACTATGAAGATTAGTGTCTTCTGCGATGTGATAACATGCAGTTTGATAGTTCGGTTCCATTACTTCAGGGGAAACTCCTGCCTTCATCTTGAGGCTACTTCCTATAAAATTGCATAGTGTCACATTCCAGAAGATGGTAATCTGCATTTATTTGTTCCCATTCACTGAGATTTAGCCTAGTGATATGAGCTAAATTTATTTAGTGGGCCCCATGGAGTAGGTAGCTTCCTTGCAACCTGAAGATGGAGGGAGATCATTGTTCAAGACACCATATGTCTTTCTTAACTAAACAATGGACAGTGTTCGTAGAGAAAATGTATATTCCCATGGTGATACAAGACCACTGTTACAGAATGTTAGAAGAATGATATGTTAGACGTGAGTAGTCAGTGGGGGGCATGCGGTAGTGTAGATGGTTGAGGCACTATGCTACAAGCTGGAAGGTCGTGGGTTCAAGTCCGATGAGGTCATAGGATTTTTTTCAATTGACCTAATCCTTCCAGCCGCACTATGACCCAGGGGTTCACTCAGCCTCTAATAGAAATGAGTACCAGGAATCAAATAATTTTCCTGGGGAGTAGAGGGTGGCCGGCGCGTAAGGCTGACAACCTTACCGCCATCTTTGAGCTGATTGTCTAGATAATGTGGGACCTTCAACAGCTCACAACCCTATGGGCCTTCACAGCCTGCTACAGGGATAGCTTTACTTTTTTTACTTTATGAGTAGTCAGTGAGTCTAGTCTGTATTCAGCCTAAAATTATGGTTGTTACAGATTAGGTTCTTCTTGCAGGGTTGTGTTCATTGGTGGAATTTGGTAGTAGCAATGCTACATGTGAAGAGGTCTATTATCAGAGCATTGGCTGCAAGATGAGTCCTTAGTATTAGAGAAGGGAAGGACAGTAATCTATTGGTTTCTTGGAATGAAAACCTAATTTCTGACCTTTCATTTTAATGGATTATCATTTTAATGACTTCTTTAGATATTGTCACATGTATGAGTGACTGTAGATGGGGTTTTGATTGGTAATTGAATTTATTGAACACTTAACAGATCATAACTACAAGTAACTATAGCACTGTCACTAATTCACATGCTCAGCAGTTCATTACAACACATACTAAGTCTTCTCAGTCTGCATTGTTTTCGTCAGTTGTTGTCTGGTAAATGCCATAGACCCCTCAGCTTCCATGCCCATGTCCATAATGGTCAGCAACTGTCTCACAACTAACTAAACTCTAGACTTGCCATGCTTAAAACACCTCAGCATGGGCCACATAGAAATCACATTTTCCCACAGCCCTCCTATTGTTGCATGACATCACTGTGGATGTGATGTGTTCCTCGGTTGCATGTGTCTGAACTATTACCTAGCAGTGGGTCTACAATGCAACAGTATGTTGAAATTGCCATGGTGACAGTTCATTATGTTACCACATACAGTGTGTAATTGAAGCAATTGTTGTGATGAGTCACAAAACATCTAGTAATGTGCAAACTCCAGATTATAGCTTTAGGTTATAGGTTTACTTAATTCTTATTTTTATTTACATACCAAATTATATTTTCAGTGTTATAACACAATATTCACTTAAAATGCCCTTATTAACACTTTGCACAGTGGCAATTTAAATGTTTAAATCACCCTGGGGTCCGGCATTTTTATACCTACTACCCTAACTTGTGGACTGTTCACTTTAAAAATTAATATAAAATCTCCTAATTAATTTTATGAACTAAAATTTTTGGAGAACACTTACCAGTGCTCCTAGAAGTGCTTGAGAGTATGATATTTCTGGAAACGTTCCCCTTTGTGAAGTGGCATTACACAGAACTTGCACATGTAGACAGTCATACTCCTTCCTTTTGTTGTGTACTGCGCAAACACGGCATCGCCTAGAAGGCTGCTTCCCCTTGGCATGTTCACTCTTCACAATTTTCACGAAGGTACGTTTCCGCATATGACCCTAGAGTCGCCCAGGGGTGTCAAAATGAGGCCTACGTGGGGTGGGAGTAGACAGCCCTGGTTGTACTAAGACTGTGTCTGCCGCCGGTTCTGCTGCCACCGTGTGGTCTGTAGCCCAGGCTTTTGCCACATTCAGAAGAAATGCCTTGTATTTCAATTTTTGAATCAGGGTTTAGATTTTTGAAAACCAAAAATGAATTGAAAATGGCACAATCTGTTGACCAATACTCTTTCATATTATCCCTCCTTGTATGGCCCATTAGAAAGATAATTGCAAAAAATTTTTCTCATTTCTGCTGAAGTGACATCCATCCACTTCAAAGCCTTATAACTTCCGTCATAATGTTCACGGTGTTTGAGATAGTATCTGTTAGTTTCTGACATAGCATGTCAAAGAAACTATCTCCAAAAAACAGTTCCACTACTTCAGACACTTGCGTTGGGTCCGATGGAATTTGCTTCACCCCCTGGATTTCCAGTAAACTGTCCCAAAGCAGGCGTTTTGTCTACTTTTCCTCATGTGGCTCTCCCCGCAATGTTGCTACCTGCACTTTCGTCAGAGCTACTGTCACTTTCACTTTCACTTTCTGTGGCCACAATTTTTTGTTCGCCCCTGCCACACTCACTATCAGATTGTGAGTCGCTAATACTACAAGACTCACAAAGGACGTCAGATAGCTCATCGGAGAACAAGTCAGATATTTCTTGTTCTCCGGGAAAACGCTTGAACCTCAACCTCTTCTGACCTTGATCCATTTTGCACTAGTAACTTCCTGCCTGGTGCATGCAGCTGGAAGATGAACAAAGGCATTTTCTTTTGGAGTGAGAAAGGAAAACAGTTGGGTCATAAACAGCGGCATCATGTTACTGACTACGAAGCAAACATTCAAGCAGTCTATCATGCACCAGTCATGCGTCTGCCTGGTGCCAGTGCAAGGTATAGTGTGTTTCAACATAACATGTCCTAAAGTCATAAAAATATGCCACCGGTCCGCAAAGTGTTAAAATTGTGTTATCACTTTTGGCTAATTTTCTTGTACTAAACCTGATTTACTTTGCTTCATAAATACCTATCATTATGCCTGATGTGACTCCTTCGCACAGAGCCAGTTTGACCATGAAACACCAAAAATTCAGGTACAACGGTACAAAAGCAATTGTCATACAAAACCCTGACTACCTGTCAAAATGCACTCCCAATATCATGAAGTATACTCTATATTAAAAGAGTTTTAAACATGACTTTGGTTGTTAATACATCTATTGTGTTTCCTGCAGCCTATTGTAAACATATTGACTCAACTGTTGCATTGCACCATTTATAAGAAGTGTGCTGTGATTCAGTTTTTGAGTGAAATGGTGCAAAAACTTTAGTTTCCTCTGCCTCATCTGCTGTATAGTTTGGATCTCATCCTTTTACCTTTTTGGACCATTAAAGCATGTTACATGCTTGCTAATTTTCTAGACATGGAAGAGGTAATGTTTATTTGGCTAGCTACTGAAGATGTTTTTAAATGGCATTGAGATGCTAGCAGGCCAATGTAACAAGTGTTTGGAGAAGCAAGGGTACCACATTGAAAAGTGACGCTCTTTGTCTGCTTACCTCTTGTAGATGTAATAAAGAAATAAATTACCTTTATATTCTGGATTTCCCTTGTATGGAACTGTAAGATTAGAAAATAAACAATGCTGAACTGTGCTGTGCAACAGTGCATTGAAAACTTAGACCATAGAGCATACTGTGGGGCTTTCTCCTTTACTTTGTACAAGATAAAAGCTGTTCGTAATGTACAAGATGATAGGCTGTTATATGAATCTTTTTATTAAACAGTAAAGAGATTATGTAACAGATTATTTAATATATAATTACTTGGAAGGGAAAGGAGCTGAAACAGTTTTCAGATTTAGAATTTACATAGAATACTTTTTATCTAGGAACCCCCAGGTACTTCTCACTGAACCTTAAGAGTTCTTTGGAACATGCTTTGGAATATTACTACCCCAGATTATCCCAAACAGTTTAAAGAGATCAAATGCTTTTTCACACTGAGTGTATGATGTTTCTGTTTCTGCAGGAGAAGGAAAAGGACCATGAATATTGGCCACCAGTTGATGCTCACGATCATATATCAGGAAAACCCCGCTCCAATGCTTCAGCTGATGAAGAAGTAAGTTTGTAATTATCTTCATAAGCAGTTTACATTTACAGTGGCCTAATGTGATGTGTCATAATCAATGACTGGGAGTGTGACACATTCACTACTGTTACCACCACCCTCTAGTAACAAAGCATTTCTCTGTTTATCATGTGGTAAGTGTATAAACAGAGACTGGGAGCCTGAAGTAAGTGGGCAGTGAGTTTTAGTTCATAGTGCACACACGTGGCACATCTGACATTCTCCCCTACCCTTTAATATATTTTGAATCCAATGTAGTAAGTGTAACATACTAAATTTCGATTTCAAAACATCAATTGTTTGATAAATTTCTTATATTTCCCATTTTGCATGCGGTCATATAGTTGGTTGAGGCACTATGCTACAAGTTGGAAGGTCGCGGGTTCAAGTCCTGATGAGGTCATGGGATTTTTTTCCAATTGATCTAATCCTTCTGGCCGCACTATGGCCCTGGGGTTGACTCAGCCTCTAACAGAAATGAGTACCAGGAATTAATTAAATAATTTTCCTGGGGAGTAAAGCGCAGCCGGCGCGTAAGGCTGACAACCTTAGCGCCATCTTTGAGCCGATTGTCTAGATAATGTGGAACCCTCAATGTCTCACAACCCTATGGGCCTTCATGACCTGTTACAAGGATAGCTTTACTTTACTAATGAATGTTACCTCCTTTCTGTGTTAACGCCATATTATTAACATTTTCTTATATGTGTAGTTTGTATTTGCTTTTCACTTAATTTTGGGATTAATTACCAAATCATAAATTTTGTACTGAAAGAACTGATAGGTTGATTATAAAATCTTCTGACAATTTAAAGAAGAATATTTATGCAGTCTCAGTACATAAGGAATCCAATCCCATATTTTTGTGCTCTGCATTAATGCAAAATATAAATGTGAGGGAATATTACTATGAATAAGCTTAGATAAAATTTCTTTGCAAAAATGAAGAAGTTCTTCACACTAAGCTTATTCTTCTTCTTCTCCTCCTCCTATTCCTGTTGCTCCACTTGGAGCATAGGGCATCCATGAAACGTTTCATTTCACTTCAGTTTCTTAACCTAAGACAGTCGGTAGAACTCCTTGGATAGATCAGCCCATCCTAAGTCTGCTACCTGACACAAACCCAGAATAAACAAACAGGCATCCATGCCTTGAGTGGGATCCAAATCCATAATCCCAGTGTTGAAGCAGGTGAAAGCATTTCATACCTTATACCTTGTGGCTGCTGTGATCAGCTCATGCTGAGCAATCACAAAGAAATTGAGACTGACATCAGAGTAGTGGCAGAAACAAATGTGAATGAAAGTGAGTTTGGTGTTTCATCATTACTTACAACTATTGCTGGCTTTTGGAAATTGTGAATATTGAACACATTTTGAGGCTTTTCCCAATATTCATGCAGGGGACTGGAGGGTGACTGCAGAAATAGCAATATTTGATTCTTGTGAATGCAGTATCTAAATAAATATCCCATTCCTATCTTATTTATATTCTTATAGTACTTGCTGGATAAAAAGGAGGAGAGATATGGACGCAATCCAAGTGGAGACAGTAGTGGGTGCAGTTCTGGGCATGAAAGTGTGTCATCCTCTCTGAAATCTGGCACACAGTTCTCTTCTGATTCGGGCACTGAAGTCGATCAGGTGAGATATGCGTCTGTGCTGTCATGTTTATAGAACTGAGACTGCACCATGTCAGTACAAATGATTTAACTGTCTTAAGAATTATTTTAACTACTCACAAAACACATTTTGATAATTTGGGCAGCTGTCAGTTATCCAATTTAATAATTTTGACTGAATGTGTAATTCAAAAAGGAACATTGGACTGATTATATTTAGAAATAAGCAGTAGGCAGTTGTTTTTAATTGTACCATATACAGCACAAAGAGGGTATTTACTTGCATTTTATAATTTTTTCAGGTACAGGTATCCCTCATTTTATGAACACTTAATATAGGAATTTTTGCTACAGTGAAATGTGTTAGTATCTGTTTCTCACTTAATCAACTTAATTTTCATTACATTGTATGACCTATGTATCTAAGAAGTTTATTATTATTATTATTTTCTGAAGGCAGAGAAATACATACAAGGCATGGGGAAAAACAGACATCCCCAGTCATGTGTATCTCCCACTTTCCCAATCTGTACACATAGATCATTGTAATTGTACAGAATCAGCTGTGCTCTTGATGCTTACATTTTATTGATAAATATCCATGTTATTTGTGTCCATCATGGCTCCCAGATAGTGAAAGTGGTTACAAGATGTATAGAAAAGCCAGAGAAACTAAGGAGAGCAATGAGTTTGGCTGCAAGCTTCATTGTTGCATTGTACCAGCTATGAGGAAATAAGTGTGATAAACTAATACAATGTTATTTGCAACAGGAAGTATAGAGAAACAATACTGGCTTTAACTCATGCTTATTTACCATCAAAAGACATGCATTTAAATGACTGGGGGATTTTTTCCAGGATTTGTGAACGAGTGGGTGACTTTTGCATGTAAAGTAATGGGAATATCACATTCAGCTTATGAGGTTTCACCTTATGAATAGTCTTTTTCTTTGAATGAATTACCTTCATAAGTTGAGGGACACCTGTATTTCCTTGAGTTTTCATGGGCTTAAAATACAGGTAACACAAAATGTTCATTATTGAACCATTGTTATTTTTTGAGTATCATTATGTTGAACGTATGAAATGAAGGTCACATACCCTAAATGCTGAATGACAGTTCAGTTAGTGAATCAGAATTGATGATAGGATAGTGTTTTGTAGGATTCAGTTTTATTTAGGCTGCTTTCAAACTGAAATCTTATTTTTACTTGATCAAGTACCTAAAACCCTTATATGAAGGAAGACATAATCAGTGATTGTACGGTAATAATTTATAAGATCTTAGGTTTTCACAGTGGTGAAGACTAATATTGTGGTCTTCTAGGTTGTGGTACTGTGTATTCAGGTTGGTGAATATGAATATTTTAGAGGAAAATACTACCTACTCAGGGTATAGTTGGTACACACCTACTGGACTATATTGTGTAGTAACCAGAATGCCACAGAATCAGTGATTTGTTAATAAAAAATGGTACCGATTATATTAAAGTCTTTCAAGTTTTCTGAATATGAGTAAATGTGAATGGTTATTTCCAAAAAGAGTCACTAGGTAAATTAAGCTGCCTGTTCATATCTTACCCAATTTATTGAACTTGGGAGTTACATGTGCACTTGATGAATTCCTTTTACTTTGTTATTGAGGTTGCTTGTCCATACTGATGCGTATAACCTGCAGTTTCATTTGCACTGTAGTAAATATGAACATCAACTTATGACGAAGTTTCATTAATTTGAAATTTGAGGGTAATGGAAAATTTTTAGAACTTATATGGTCATTTATTTTCTGCAGAAGGAAGCCATGGGAGATCTTATTTTAGCAGTAATTATTAAGTATACTTCATGTTATATGGATGTATACTCACTTTATTTGTAAATATTATTATAGGCACAATAGATCACTGTGGTCACCGTGCAAGGGCCAAGAAGGCCCACCCCTTATACAAATATTATTATATGTACCATTTTAAGTGTGTATGCCTCAATATACTCTGATTTTAGCTGTTAGACCGTAGAGATTATGTAACTTGGACAAAGTATGCCCCCCCCCCACCAAACAGGGTACTTTTTACTATCTTTATGACATGTACAAGAGAGGAAGAACAAGTACTGAGTCTGTATCAGTGATATGTCACTTTGTATTTCTGAACATGTACATGACAGGACGATTTTGATGAATGTGGACATAAGGAATAAATGTTTTCATATGAACCTGAAACATGCCCCAGAGGGTGACACCTGAAATATTTATTAATATATTTTTGTCCATTTAATCCTGGTAGAATTATCAAGCTGTGTTCAGTAATTCATTTTTCTTTTATACCTAGATCATATAATTAGTATACTCATTCTGCTTTAATCAAAGGAATTGTTTTTGCGAATGAAAGTGTTAATTTTTAAGAGAATATTATGCAGATTTAAAATTTGCATGCGTTTTGATAACAGTTATCATCTGTACATTGCAGTAAGTTCCAGAAATGAAATTACTATAGTATTAAGATATGCTAGTAATTTCTTGTGTATTTTTCAGTCATGTTATACACTGTGCTATGTAATCAGGTGAAACTGAGGGCTGAACATTCATTTTTCAGTGCTCTTTGGTATAGAATATAGGATTCAGCATGATTAGAAGTGGTACTTCTGGAAGTTTATTTTAATGTTATGCCAAATTCAGTATACATAATGAAATCTTCAGAACTGTAGAAAGACACACACTGATTGTTGTCTTTTATTTTAACAGTTGTATTAAATATGGCCTTCCATATGCTGAAACACAGATTTGGCCTTTGAAGGTTTTTGTAACGTTGATGTCACTCAAAATCCTGTAGCATGCAGTTGGTTTATTCCTTTCATATGTTTCATGAATGCTTCACTAATCAGCTCCATCCCATTAGTTTCATTTCCATTCATTGGTCCTTAATGTCTAATGACCACCATACTTTTACATTATTTCAGATATAAATTTGAAAGGAATGTAGTTGAAAATAATAAATTGCATGAAGTTGGCCATTACCAGTGAGTACCAGGCACTGTTAAATAATACCAGCGTTTCTGATTTGTGAAAGAGAGAGAAAAACTCATGATGAGTTTCCTTATAACTTTTGGCTTGAGTCACTGTTCTATTCCAGAGGACAGTTATTTTTTACATATGGTTACAGTCTTAGGAGATGTGTTGTACGATATATGGGTACCTGTCTACTATGCTACAAGGATTCGCATCTCAAAAGACTGTATACCTATCTACTATACTACATAGCAGTACATCCCAGAAGACTATACTTATCTACCACACTACAAAGCATTACATCCCAGACAGTTAAAATTACAGTAGCAAGTGGTTGGTTTGTATGCACTAGTGTACTTTCCATTATGTTCTGTGTTCACATCATGCTGTGTGATGTGTTGCTGGAATGCATAATATTTAGTTCAGAATATGAACATGATATTTTTATTTTCCTTTGTGAATTGCCCTTTTGAGTAATGAAACTCTATTATATCTCAAATGATGATATGCCTTGCATTGTATAACTGCAGATTAAATTTATTCTCTTTATACTGAAAATGAAGTAGCCTCAAAGATGTGTGCATGTGGTATAATAATGATGATAAATTTACATATTGGCAGGATGACACTTGATGCACTCTTAAAGTCAGTTATTCGTCTAATTTGTGGCGTGTTCAAGTTCGTAAACCAGTTCTGACACCAAATTGTCACGTGTTTGGTGTATAATGTGTCAGATAACTTCACGCCTTATTTGGTGTAGCGAATTTATTGCACATTCTCTCTTACATTCACACAATTTACAATCTCACAATTACTGCCATCGGCAGTATCACAAATACTTCTCCTGTAGTCACTGCCATGCCCTCGATACAACTTGACTCATCGACTGCTAGATTGCCACTGTCTTCGGTGGCTGCTATATTTCAACTGACTCCTTAGGCAGTGTAGTTCTCTTATATACCCTCAGCCAGACAATGGGAAAACACCTCGCTTCCTTGTTGCCTAGTTGCCGTGTTTACAGGTGTTGCTGGCAACGCTAGCAAGAGTTGTTTATTGCTGCATAGCAATCACGGCATCCCTTGTTATGTCACCGTGGGAGGGGGGAGGTTCAGTTTACCGAGTGTTGCATACTGGTGGAAGGAGTGGGGGTATGTGACATCACTCGAGGAAACACAGAGTTCACGTGACCCTCACTTCCCGTTGCGCCATCCACGTCACACTATTAAGAATTTACATTATAGTAAGGGATAATTTATTTATGTTTGTTGTAATAAAGTAAATTTTTAATTTGTGCAAGTACAATATCACCTGTAATATTACAGTGACAATTTTTTTCCCCTGGGAACTGTAGCTGGCTGTTCTAAAGTTTGCAGATAAGTTGCCACTTACTGTCGTAACTGTCAAATTTAGGGGAAGGTCAATTGATATTTTTTGGTGTATATTTAGGGTTCTATGACATTTGTCACTTTTGTCTCACAGTTGGAGATTTCCCCTTCAGACACCCAGCAGGTGGCTTGGGTCAAGCTTGAAGCCAGCTGCCCATCAGTAATCAGTCAAGTTAATGCACAACATGAGACCGGGTTCTTTAGAAATTCTAAACTTTGACAGGGGGAGTAATAATTTTAGCAGAGTCATTTTATGCTGCCCCAAGTTCCAGTTTGACAGCCACGCAGCAGGTGGCAAAGTTCACCCCTAAACTCTGCACGTGTGGGTATTCCTTTTTGTAATTGGAGAAGGATTAAGCAGCCTCCCAGCTTGCTTGGTCCAGCCAATCAAAATCTGAAGTGGAATGTCCTTTGCCCAAATTTTTGGGTAACCAGGGCAGATATTTACCATTCAAAGCATGCTTGGCAGAGAACTCTGAAATTTACATTCACTGGGGGTACACATGTTCTGACCCCCATATATACTCGTACACTTTATGGTTCCTGTCGACTAGGTGTATTAGTACCCAGTAAAGGAGCTTAAATCCACCATTCAGTTAAGTGGATCACTGTGGCGCAGTTATAATTTAAATA